GAGGTCTGAAGTTTGAAGCCCCTAGTAGTCCAGTGGGCAGTGACTCATTAGCCCAGAGGCTGGGTCTGCCTCCAATCATATGCCTTAATTGTCCCTGCTCTGAACTATACTCCCTTTCCCCACGGAGCTGGGCTCTGTGGAGGTATCCTCGTCTTGGCTGGACTTGTGTTGGAGGTGGTACCAGTACCTTGTAGGACGGAGTACTGGGCACTTCCTCTCTTTCTAATGCCTCTGCTCTGTCTGGTTTGCTGGCACCTCCTCTCTGTCAATTGAAGGGGCACAGATTTCCTTCCTTGGTCTGTTCCCCCTTGCTGCAGATTGGGTCAGAAGTACCTGTTTTGCCGGTAGGATAGAGGGAACTCCCCTGTGTTCCAGGTGGGAAGGGCTGATCTCCCTCCTGAACCTACTGTCTAGCCCCCTTTCTGCTCACCAACACATGTTCCCACAAGAAATAAAGGGCCCCTCAGATTCAATGTTAAGTGTGTCCTTCCACACCTGTCCAGGTCTCTAGATTACTGTTTTCTATATCAGTAATTCACTCCTCTGTCTGGTCAGCTCTATTGCCTAACCTTGCTAGTTCATTATTCTTTGTTTTTATGATTTCTTCAGCTGCAGAATTTATGTTTTGTTCTCTTTTAGTTTCAGTCTCTTTGGTGAATATTTCTTTTGTTCATATATTTTATTTCTGAGATCACTGAATTGCTTTTCTGAGTTTTCTTATCCTTGAGTTCTTTTAGAACTGCAATCTTGAATTCTCTGTTATTTAAATCACAGTGTTTCCTGTCTTAAGTTTATTTTCTGGAGATTTTTAATTTTCTTTCTGACCTCCCTTGTTACCTTGGTTATTCATTGTACTTGATGGATTATTTCTCTGCCTGCGCATTTGTGGGAATGAAAACTTTTTAAAAAAGTATTTGACATCAGTGTTTAGCAGGTTGATAAGTAGATTTCTTTCTTTTGTTTTACAGTAGGTGGTGCTAAAGCACAAGTTTTCTTTGCACTGCTGGGGCTTCTAGGATCTTTGTGCAGCATTATAGCCTGGGCCATGGAATATTCCTGGTATTTCTTGAGGAGGTGGGGTAACCTTGCCCAACCTGAGTCTTGGGGCAACACTCCCATGGATTCAAAGTGGTGGGCTGTGGGTCTTCTGAATGTTCTCAGTGCTTCATTCAGGTAGCCAGAAGCTGCCAGTCAAGCTGTTCTGTCTGAGTTGACCCCAGCTGCCTCAACCTAGGACCTAGTTGTATAGAGATGGGTGCAACAGGGTTTGGTGGGGAAGTGGTTTCATGAATCCAAGGTTCTGCTCTTCCTTGTGTAATTAGCTACAATGAGTACAGACCACTTACTCTGGAAGTTTTTTCAGCCCTTTAAAGATCTTCCAAGTAAGGATTTCTGCCTGTCAGGCAGGCCACAGGTGTGGGCAGGTTCCCGCATATGAGAAATCCTTTGTCTGGTACTGGCTGGCTGTGGTGTTCTTTGACTTTGCACAATTTCTCTGCCCCTGACTCTGGGCCCAGCCTCAATGTCTGTCAGCCACTGAGGCCCCATTGCTGTGTCTGCCCTTCCTTTTTGTCCAGTGGTGATAGTACTTCATCCCTTCACTATCAAGAAGCCTCCACAAGTAGTGCCCAGAACTTACATCTCTGTCTTGTCCCCTCCCTCTCCTGTCTCCATTGTTAACTGAGATGCACCCTTTAGATGTCTCAGTGCACAATGTGTTTCTGTGTTATCAGGGAATCAATCCTTTGTTGAATTATAGCTGTCCAATTTATAACTTTAAGGGGAGAGACCTTGACCGTCATGTATTGGCTGCCGTGCTGCTAACCAATACTTTTTATTTTTCTCATAGCTATTGCTAAGCATGGCCATCCCTCTCTTAAAATAATAATGTCATATTTATTTTTTTTTGGTTCTATACTATCTTGCACTTGGTTAGTACTTAATTAATCTATATATACTACAGGCCCGGTGCACGAAATTTGCTCACGGGTAGGTTCCCTAGGCCTGGCTGGTGATCAGGGCTGATTGGGGCTTTCCAGCTGCCGGCCAGGGCCTTCCTTCATTCTGCGCCACCCCCTAGTGGTCAGTGCACGTCATAGCAAGTGAACGAACTCCCCGTCTCCTGGTCGAACTCCTGAGTGGACACTTTGCATATTAGCCTTTTATATCTATAATAATAAAAGCATAATATGCTAATTAGACCAGGCGTCCTTCCAGATGAAGCCGGGGCTGCGAGGGAAGCCCAGGTCCCAGGTGCTGGAGAGAAGCCTGGGTCCCGGTTGCCAGAGGGAAGCCGGTAATGGTAGCCAGGTAAGGAAGGCCTACTCTTGCACTTATTTAGTGCCTCGGGCCTCTAGTATATAGATAAAAGCCTAAGCGACCGCTCGACCCGTAGCTATGACATGCACTGACTACCAGCGGGCAGGCGCTCAATGCAGAAGCTTCCCCCTGGTGGTGAGTGCTCTCCCACAGTGGGAGCTCCGCTCAGCTGACCAACAGGCACCAGACCCTGGGCTCATGGCTGGTGAGCGCCGCTGCGGCAGTGCGAGCCTCTCCCAAGGACACTCCTCCTACATGCCCCTCCCCCATATGGACCAGGATTGGGACTGACTGGGTGCGAGCCTGTGGCCGCTTTTCACTCATGGGTGCATGGGTATCGCCCTAGGGCGGGCACACGGAGACCTCAGTGGAGTGGCAGCAAGTCTACAGAGCGATGGCAGCGGCAGGCGCAGTGGGGCTGGGATGAGCAGGAGCGGCGCTGCGCCCAGCCTGGCTCGGGCTCTTCCCTGGCTGGCTGCCGCTTTGCACACTAGTACATCCCTCAGGGGATGTAGGACTGCCAGTTTCAGACAGTCCCCGCAGGCCAGGCCGAGGGACCCCACCGGTGCATGAATCTGTGCACTGGGCCTCTAGTATTTGTATAATGTAGGAATATCAGCGGTGCAATTAAATTAAACTCAGGCTGTACTTTTGGTATAGAAAAGTAAATAATTTTATAAATTGTTTTTGTTTTCTATCTGAGGGTATAGAGTTTTTCTGCAGCAATATCTTCCTTAAATTCCTAGATATTTTTTATAAATAGAAATTTAAGGAATTTAGGGGAAATTGAAAATGGAATTTATATATGTACATGCATACATATGTATATCCTATATAATAAAGAGGTAATATGCAAATTAACCCTCACGCCCTCACAGTATGGCTGCCTATGACCAGGCCGACAGGGAAGTTAGTGAGGGACCACCAAACGACTGAACAAGCAGGCTGCGTGGGGCGATCAGGCTGGCAGGGGTGTTAGTGAGGGACGACTGAACAAGCAGACTGCATGGGGCGACCAGGCTGGCGGGGGTTCCGTGAAGGGTGACTCAGCCGGCAGGGGGGCAGTTAGGGGCGACCAGGCCAGCAGGGGGGCAGTTGGGGGCGACAGTTGGGGGTGACCAGGCCAGCAGAGGGGGGCAGTAAGAGGTGACCAGGTTGGTGGGGGGGAAGTTAGGGGTGACCAGGTCGGTATGGGGGGGTGCAGTTGTGGGTGACTAGGCTGGCAGGGGGAGCAGTTAGGGGCGACCAGGGCGGCAGAGGGGGGCAGTTGGGGCAACCAGGCTGGCAGGGGGGCCAGTAAGGGGTGACCAGGCCAGCAAGGGAGCAGTAAGGAGTGACTAGGATGGCAGGGAGGGGGCAGTTGGAGGCCAGCAAGGGAGCAGTAAGGAGTGACTAGGATGGCAGGGAGGGGGCAGTTGGGGGCAACCTGGCTGGCAGCGGGGGGCAGTTAGGGGTGACTAGGCCGGCACACAGTCAGTGAGGGGAGCGATTAGGAGCCAGCGGGCCAGGATTGTGAGAGGGATGTCCGACTGTCGGTTTAGGCCTGATCCCTGGGGGCCAGGATTGTGAGAGGGATGTTGGACATCCCCCGAGGGGGCATGTATTGGAGAGGGTGCAGGCTGAGCTGAGGGGACACCCCCCACCCATGTGCACGAATTTCATGCACTGAGTCTCTAATATATGTATAATATCACTGTTTTTATTTAATCATTTTTCTATTACATTTTTAAAAATGGAACTGTGAAGTTAAATGAGGAACTTTAAACATTTTGACAGAATCCAGCATCATTTTATGTGATTTTTATACAGCAGACAAAGAAAACTTATTGAAATTACTAATTTTATTCTGATTTTTCTTGTCAGAGCCTAGCATAGTGTAGGCTCAATAAAGGCTTATCTAACTGAACTTGAAGTATCTGGACTTGAGTATAACCTCTCATAGAGTCTCCTGTTGGATTGTGGAAGAAATGTGGGTACTGATAAAATTAGTGGATCACAAAGGGTCATACATCTAGAAGTTGCCTGGCATCAAATATCCTTCCTTCATGAAGCCTTCTCAGCCCTCAGCCGCTCCTCTCTGCTCACTGGCACTTTGCCCATTTTCTCTTGTAACCCAGGTCCTGAGGTGGTAAACTAGTAAGTTATATGCCAAGATGAATGACAAAGAGCCCAGAAGAGGATACAAAACTATTTTCAGAGGTCATATTTTTTTCACAGATGCTGCTCAGTCATAGTTTCTAAATCTGAGTCAGTTCCATTACACAAGCTATGTATTCCTTGGAAGGTGTTTTGAGTAGTTTCTTTATATAAGGAATTGTTGTATATATTGTAGAATTTACCAAATTAAATGTACTTTTTTTTGGTAAAATACATTAATTTAGCAGAACTTTTTATCAGAGGCTTAATTTGTCTTTTCTATTGAGTAATGTACAACAAAACCATTTGCCAAGAGGTATTATTTTTGTCATTTTAAAAATAGATTTTAGTGTTTGATTTTATTTTTTGGACTTTAGTGTTTTTAATTAAGCCACCAGACATTAAAAAAAAAAATTAGAGCCTCTTTATCCTCAAATCTCGTAAAAATTACCTTAGATCCTTAAAAACTAAAGCAGTTTGCAAAAACGTAGAAAGTACCTGGAGGTGTCTGTATTTTACTAAGGATGTACTCCTCATTTTGGTAGGTATTTTGGACCAGTCTGCTGTGTGGGTTGATGAAATGAATTATTATGATATGCGTACCGACAGGAATAAAGGAATTCCTCCCTTGTCCCTACGTCCTGCTAATCCACTTGGCATTGAGATTGAAAAGTGAGTACCCTTTTCCCTTCAGTTTTTTTTTTGTTTTTTTTGTTTTTGTTTTTTTCAGTTGGTAAGAAGTTTTATATACTTAGTCAAACTCTGGAAACATCAGGTTATTTCTGAAGCCTGGTCAACTTTGCTGCCAATGAAGTTCCCATTATTGAAAACTTTTGACACAAACAACTTCTCTCTTTAGTTTTTTAATTTACATTTTGTGAAGAAGAAAAATATATTTTAATCACTAATACTTATTTTTAATCTCTAATACTTAAGAAATCAAAGTATAGTTGACATACAGTATTATATTAGTTTCAAGTTACAACATAGTGATTTGATATCTATATATACTTGCAAAGTGATTACCGTGACAAGTCTAGTAACCTTCTGTCACCATACAATGTTATTTTGATGTTCTCTGTATTCCCTATGCTGTACATTACATCCTATGATTTATTTATTTTGTAACTGAAACTTTGTATACCTCTTAATCACTTCACGTTTTCTGCACATATCCCCAGTCTTCTCCCCTCTGACAACCATCAGTTTGTTCTTTGTATCTATGTGTCTGTTCTATTTTGTTTATTTAGTTTTTAGAGTCCACACATAGATGAAAGCTATTTGTCTTTCTCTGTCTGGCTTTTTCACTTAGCGTAGTACCTTCTAGGTCTATCTATGTTGTTACAAGTGGCAAGACTCATTCTTTTTTATGGCTGAGTAATATTCCATTTTTTTAAATCCTCACCCAAGAATATGTTTATTTATTTTAGAGAGAGAGAGGAAGGGAGGGAGAGAGAAAAAGAAACATTGATGTGAGGGAGAAACATTGATCAGTTGCTTCACATATGCACCTCAACTGGGATGGAACCTGCAGCCTTTTAGTGTATGGGCCAATGCTTCAACCAACTCAGCCACCCGGCCAGGGCTCCATTGTGTATGTGTATGTATATATACACCATATCTCCTTTATCCACTGTCCATTGATGGACACTTAGGTTACTTTTATATCTTGGCTTTTGTCAATAATGCTGCAATAAACATTGGAATGCATATACTGTTTTTCATAGTAGCTGCACAGTTTACAGTTCCATAGCACTTGTTATTTGCATAACTAGTACTTTCAATAATAAGAGAATTAATGCATTTTCTGGAGTTGGTAAGTTTAAATATTTAGATGGTACTTGAAATAAAAGATTTTCCATGTGCTTGGTATTTTGGGAAAATTTTTAGAGTAATTAAGCCCATTGTAGTCTTTCATTTTGTTTTAAACCTTTGCCTATAATTCATACTTAATTTAGACTTACTTCACTAGAATTGTGGCAGGTGATCTCTTTCAAGATGTCTTGTAATCAAATCTAGAATTTTCTTAATCCCTAGAATGTTTTTAGTAACTTTTATAATTAGTACCTTTATCCTTAAATCTTACTTAATCACTTCTTCTAACACCCTAATTGTGTCTTATTTTCTCGTCTTAGTGATTCTGCTTATGAAGTGATGTACAGTGTGTTTCTCTATAAACACTCACTGAAGGTGACAGATTCGTTGTTAACATTTTAACCATAGCTCTATTTTAGGTTTTTCTATGAATGAAGAAAATTCTCCACTAATCTATATATTTAACTTTGAAGCCTACACTTGAACATCATTAGTAATTCAAATACCAAGCTTCTTTTTCACCTGCTGGGGTTTACCCCTAGCTGAGAAGAAGGCATTAAGTGTTTGTCTTGGGACATTATCATGTGTTGAACCATCCTGGGGTGTAACAGCATTGAGTGAGCTTGGGCTGTTCTAGGTCACATCTTTGAAACTCTTTGGCTGTATGGGTCATTCTGGAGCTGTTTTAAGGATTTCAGTGCTCTATAAGTTAAGAGTTTAAGAATCAAGAAAGTCCAGAAAACAATGCTAATTGCTAGATATTTATTTGAGCACAGTTCAAACATGAATAGATTTTGTAGTTTATTATAAAACTTTTAATGGCCTGCTTCAATACTCTCAAAAGCCAGTTAATTTCATTCCAAGGTCTACCACAAAAGAAGTGTAGAGCAGGAGGGCCCTTTTGATTGTTCTTTCATAAAGATCCATTTTTATATATGGGCACAGGAGTATAAGAATATCGTATGAATTTTGTACAACTGTAAGACAAAACTCTCAAAGTTAGGTTCAAATTAGATGTTTACTATCATAAAATGAATTTCTTTAAATTTTAGTTTGGCATAAAACCTATCCCCTCTTTTGATCTTTTTACTCTCTCATGTCCTCTTACCTTTTGTCTTTATTGTTCCTGTTATTTTTTTATTTTTTTTTATTTTTTTAAATATATTTTATTGATTTTTTACAGAGAGGAAGGGAGAGAGATAGAGAGTTAGAAACATCGATGAGAGAGAAACATCGATCAGCTGCCTCCTGCACATCTCCCACTGGGGATTGTGCCCGCAACCCAGGTACATGCCCTTGACCGGAATCGAACCTGGGACCCTTCAGTCCGCAGGCCGACGCTCTATCCACTGAGCCAAACCGGTTTCGGCTATTGTTCCTGTTATTGCTGTTACCCATGAAGATGTTTGGCTTGAACTCTCTCCAATAGTATTTTTAAAAATATGTATATTTTTATTGATAACAGAGAGGAAAGGAGAGGGAGAGAGAGATAGAAATATCAGTGATGAGAGAGAATCATTGATCAGCCCCTCCTGCATGTCCCACACTGGTGATCGAGCCTAAAACCCAGGCATGTGCCCTGACCAGGAATCGAACCATGATCTCTTGGTTCATAGGTTGATGCTCAACCCCTGAGCCAAACTGGCCAAACTCTAATAGCATTTTAAAAAAACGGGTTTCAGAAAAATAATACACATTCCTTTGATAATTTAGTGCCAGGAATAATGGCACTAAAAGTACTCAGCTCTTTAAAATTTTTCTTTTCTTTGAGAGGTAGTCCCATTTAGTCTGGAGACAAACTCACTCAGTTTAAATCATAGCTCTAGCACTTATTGGCAGTATGCTTTGAGCAGGTTATTTAACTTCTTTTTGCTTTAGTTGGAGTGCCTGTGTTATAAGGTGCTTGTGAGGAGTCAGTGAGTGAATAGTGCCTTAGAATGGTGTCTCGCTCATAGCAAGTGTTTCATAAATGTTAGTCATTATTACCACGATTTTTTGCTCTTCATGTACTACTCTATTCAGTTTTCTACCATTTACAAAAAGAAACTCTTTTTTAATGACTATTAAGATGTTAGGATAATAAATTGTATTTAAATCTTAAGAGAATATTATGTATTGTAATTCAAAGAGAGCTTAAATCGTGATAAAATTAGCAATGATATTTATTTTGAGCTGTTTCTTAAGTTTGAGTAATAGTAACTCAGCCATCAGCTAATTAAAGGATAGTTTTTGAAAAGGTAAAGACATGATTCATACATATATAAAATGAACCATGTGTCAGAGCTTTCATTAGTTCATTAGTTAATGGGAAAACCAGTTCAAAGTGAATTCCACAGAACGTACATGAATGCCAAAAAATGCAAAACTGGTCACTTCTACTGCATGGTAATTAGTTGCATCTTCACTTGACAGGTATTTCTATGGCCAGGGATCTCCACTCACCATCAGTCCTCCACAAGTTAACTTCTGTTGTTGTTTTTTTTTTTAACAGAATTGGAAAATAGAGACAAAGAAAGGCAAAGATATCTCTAGAAACAGGAAACACTGGGAGTGCTCCAGACCTCCAGACAGGGAAAGGAAATCCAGTAATCATTTTTCTCTGTTTAAAGTTTTTATAATTTTCCCACTCGAAAGAAAGAAATAGACATACGAGGAAACAGGAAAATAAAGGTGAAAGTGGGAAGAGTTATATAAACCAAGAGAAGAGAATGTTTTTGATCAGAAAAATGCTCAATGTATTTTTAAATACTGTCAGAAAGAATGCACTTATTTTATTGAACTTTGACCTTGGATAGAGAGGTCTTATTTTAGAAAAAGAAGAGAACAGGAAAGGAAAAACATATATTATAACACTGTTGGTATAGGTTTCATTTCCCTGATTCATTATATTTTAGTAAAAGCTTTGATCTCCAAAGAGAATGGTGTTACATTTAGATTAGAATCCCTAAGAGCATTTTTAAACTGTCTCTCTTATTTCTGCTTATTAATGTCTTTGGGAGGTTTCTTTTATAATTAAAAGGCTGCAGAGGACCTATTTTTAATATTTTTAAAATGTCATTAGAGAAAAGATTACAAGGTTTTAATTTTATATTACTTGCTTGTTGAAATATATTAATAGAGAAGTTTTAAAGAATTATGACTGCCTGTTATAAAATACTCTACTGTGATCCTAATGGATTATCAGATTAAAGTGTTGATAAGACCCCCTTTGGAAGATGAATCAGCTCCTGGGAATTGCATCATGAATGTTTATGGAAATTATCTTCAGCTGAAAGTCATGTACAGTGTGAAACAATGAGGGGTCCTGTAGGGTTGGACAGTTCATCTGAATATGAAAAAGCAAGTGAGAATAAGAGTATATAGTTTTCCTGTTACAATTTGACTTTCCAATAAAAAGAAAAAGTGACCACTTTTCTTGCTACATGTGTGTCAGAATTTAATAAATATTTTATTGGTGTACCTAACATGTATACTGTCCTATTTCAGCACACAAGTTTAACAACTGGCATTTAGTGGCCTGCCTCCACTGCTAAGTTGTTCATATTCCTAAGTTTTTAACTGATGTTTTTGCACACATGGTGCCTTGATACTTATAAAAGTGTTACTAATTGCCCAGAAAAAAATAACTTCACTTTGAACTGAGACTAGGATTTGCTTGTAAAAAATACTTGAGGATATGTTTTAGAGATTGGAAGGGGGAGAGACAGAGAAATATCGATGTGAGAGACAACCATTGATCAGTTGCCTCCTGTATGCACCCAGACTACAACCTTTTTGGTGCTTGGGATGACACTCCAGCCAACTGAGCCATGCAGCCAGGGCTATTTATTATACTGATTGTCACAAATATATGTGTT